AGAAGTTCTCTTAAGGAAGTGCAGCCTTGTGTAACCATTGTCAGAATTCTCTCTATAATGCAGACACAGATTCCTGATATATATGACTCTTGCAAGTAGGTAACAGTCTATCCCTCAGATTCTTAGTTCTGTTTGGGTTTTGTCTTTACAGAAGAGCTGAATATATGTTGTCATGTACTCTTCTGTAAGATCTCTGGAAATTACAGCCAGACCTATTCAAAGTTGTCTTTTATAATGAGCTTGCAAGATGGTAACACCCTGCATCTTTCCTGAAAACTAGCGGTGACATAAATTTTCATGTTCCTCTTCCAACCAAATTTGGGAAACAGCTATAAAAAAGGCAAACAGCTGGCCTTTATTTTGTGATAAAGATCGAATAGAAGTGCTATGGAAAATCATAGCCAACAACTTTTTGGTGTCTGACAACTTGGTTAATCTTTTGCTGTCACTGCCTATTTTCCATGCTCAGCAATAGACCTACTTCAACAAGAATAACGAGTTACTTGCCTGATGTAGGCGTCATTTGATACAAAGACCTACTTTAACAAGAATAGTGAGTTCACTGAAGGATCATAGCACAATAAATTTCTGATCTCATAGTCTGCCCAAGTCCCGAAGAAGATCTGAGCTTACCTGCAAGTCTTTTTAGCCTTGATTAGTGTTATATATGCTGCTCTGGTGGATCACTTCAAAGTTCAAATGGAGGTATCACAAAGAGAAAGAAATAGAATTCATCATACCAACACTGTTTTGCCTTTTTCCCTGATTGCTTTCCGGTGCCTGTGTGCATCTGCTGTGTGCATTATTTTTCTTTAAATATTTTCTTTCTTATATTCAAAGCTTCCTGTGCTTATTAAAAATGGCATGATGCATCTGAAGAAGATGGTGGCTCTTCATTTCTGCACATCATCTTTAAGCTTATCTGTCATTATTTTCTAATAATACTGTACATGACAGGTATGACCTTCTGCATAACTCACATCTCAATCTTAATGGTCTGCATGATCTCTTCAAAGTATCTCAGGTAAACCGAGCATGTTTGTCATCCCCAAAGTAAAACAGAGTTGA